ATATATATACATAATATACATACTTATATATCTACATATATACACATATATATACATACTTATATATATACATATATATATATATGCATACACATATATATATATACATATATACATACTTATATATATATACATACTTATATATACGTATATATATTTATATATACATACTTATATATATACACATACATATATGCATTATAATACATATACATACTTATATATTATATATATACATACTTATATATATACATACTTATATATACGTATATATATTTATATATACATACTTATATATATACACATACTTACATATATACTTATATAGGCCTATATATATACTTATATACACTTATATTCTTATATACTTATATATAATGTACACTTATATATAAGTATATATATACACACACATAAACATATATATATATACATACATATGTATATATATACGTATATGTATATATATATCAATATATATGTATGTATATATATATAAATATATATATGTATAAATATATATATATATGTATATATATGAATATATATATGTATATGTGTATATATATACGTATATATATACATATATGTATATATATATATATATATATATACACGTATATATACTTCTAAAAGTCGTGTATCATGCATAGGAACGTTGACGCCTGCAAGGCTCTGGTTAAAGAATTTCAAGGCTCTTTTAATACAGTTTTCATCGTACAATACATCTCTCTTCGTTAAAAATGGACACAATAGTATGTTAGGCCTACACAAACAACACACATAGTGTTCCTTCCATTATTATTGTTCGCAGTCATTTGAGGGGCGATTATTCGAGAGTGCGTTTACTTGAGGGGAGGGGGTTTCACTCAAAGTGTGGCGTGTGTTTGAATAAATAATTATGTTTTTGATTGCACATATCCGATTGCCTACAAAGACAACTGAAAAGGGATTTACATAGGAAAGGATGTTCTTTTGGGAAAAAAGGGTACCGTACAAGGAAAAACGAAGTACAGAATTGAAGTAAACAACAGTTAGAATAGAAGCCATTGTAGGCCTACTGGTACATCATAAATTTTGAGACTATTTTATATCAAAACAACTATTAACAAGTTAATTTGATTGATTATCGCATTCACTATGCCGACAACCATGTCATTAATGAATACGCGTTCTTATAATAAATCACTGATGTTTAATAACAATTGATGAACAACGTACTGTCCAGATATTCAAATCCGAAATACCTACTCGATATTATAATAACTATAAAGCCTTTGATACCCAACGCCTTACGTCATATTTACGGTCTGCGAAACTTGGAGGCCTACATTATTTAGCGCTTTGAGCGGGCATATTATATTTATAATATTATTTAACATTTACTGTACAGTACTGTATTATTATCAGTATCATTAATATAATTATTAAAATCTTTTTATCATTTGACGTCGTGCAGCGGGTGGATAATTCCGTCTTATGTTTACGAAAGGTAGGCGGATGGATGGAAAGACAAACAAACAGCCAAACACATATCTGTTATTCTAGATGAACTAGATTTTCTACGTGATATTTCGGGTTTAGGTTTTGAGATATAGAGGCAGTTTAATTAAAATAAGATTGTTTGTCTTATGTCACAAATGTACTTCTTTTTCTAACCCGTTTTGTTTTACACTATATTAATATATTTCTAATGGCTCCGGCTGGAATAAATATTTAAATGACATACTATATACATAATTGGCACAATACAATGTGCTTGAAGATCATTATATAAATGTATAACCTCGCATGCGCGCTAGCCTCAGAATACGCCCTGCAACACAATGTAGTTTGACGTGTGGGGGCGTTTAATACATGCTTCAAGTTATCAGCCTGATTGAAGTCAGTCGTCATTAGTCTCCCATCATAGGCGGACCAAGTGTTAACTGTTATTAGAATATTCAAACACAATCTCCATATTACCTGTAATAATGGTAAGTTCTACACACGTAAACTATTCTTGTTCTAATATGTCGCCGATTACATTAACCAAGTTATTATTTTTTGGAGACGCTTATAGCGCCGGTACGGTTAAAACACCAGGCTTGTAATAATATGAACAAAAGTTAGTTTTGATTAATGTGAAATTAGTTCCTTAACACCAACATGTACGTTTTCGTGCACCACAAACCTTTATACAAAACATATCCTTCTCATACACTCTCAAATATAGAAAACAGGCTTCAAGTAGTGACCTTATTTTAATACAGATGTATACCGATATCCTACGCCACCTCGTATGTAGCAACAACAGAAGGAAATACAAGGAATGTATGATATTGTTAGTATTATTGTTGTCATACCGGTAATACACGTGTAAATCCTATCTGCATATTATTTATCTGTGTGTATCGTACAGGGACGGATCGAAGATTTGTGCTATAAGGGGAGCGGGAGCGGGTGCGGGTGAAAACACTACGGATGAAGTACGACAAAGTTAAGAATGTGTCACACTAAATCAATGCCTAAAATAGCTTTCATACTCAAAGTGTTCTAATTTGATAATTAGAAGCTCAATTTTATCTAAAAGCACACTCTCAGTTCCACCTTTGTCATTGGTGGATCTGAGAGGGGGAGGGAGTCAGGGGGTCCTCGTCAGGGGTCCTGACCCCCTTGGCAAAAACAAATCTAGACCTAATTTTCAGGAGCTGACTTTTTTTTTGTTACAGCCATCTAGGAATCAATATATTCCCGAGGGAGGGCCCGACCCCCTTTCTTTTTGGGGTTCATCAATTCATGGAAAAAAAGAATACGTATGCAACTACTCAATATTTTTTTTCTGTATGTATACCGGTACACACATAATATGCCTTTTTACTGGAATAAGAATGAGAAACATTCCATTTTGAGGAACTAAAAGACATTAAATGACACTTTAGAAGTCGGGAAAGCTCATTTCCCGCCATCTAGAAATCAAAACTTTCCCGGCGAGAACCCGGACCTCCTTTTCTCTTTTGGGTTTTATCGATTCATAGAAAAAAAATATGTATGCAACTACTCAATGTACATAAACAATATTGAGTAGTTGCATACATAAACAATATTGAATATGTATGCAACTACTCAATATTGTTTATGTATACACACATAATATGCCTATTTACTTTAATCTGAATGAGAAAGTTTAACTGACCGTTTTCCAGAGGTCATCAAACGACAACCTCAGAAGTCGGGAAACTCATTCCCGCCATGTAAAAATCTAAATTTTCCAGGGGAGGACCCCGGATCCCCCTTTTATGTTAGTATTAGTTTTTTGGAAACATTTTGACACCCACCCCCTCCCCACCACCCTTAAATTTGAGCCCATATACGCCCCATGTTTGTTATCATAATTATAATGATTACCGGTATATTATAAACTTTATTTTAGGGAAGTGGCAAAAGCCTGTTTAGCCCCACCCCAGGTAACCAGGCCGATTTCGTGACTAAAGCATGGGTGGGCATAAAAATAAGTCGGAGGGTTGAAGTAGTTTCGTGTTATTGCAATGCTGTATTATTGTAGGCCTACTGCTTTTATACAACTCTATACTCCGTAAAACCATGCATCACTGAATCTATTACGAAAAATAAACGGCTAATATATCTCTTTTTTTAATTTCAGCGTGAAGTAATCTCAGTTCATGTTGGTCAAGCCGGTGTCCAGATGGGCAATGCCTGCTGGGAGTTGTACTGCTTGGAGCACGGTATCCAGCCTGATGGTCAGATGCCAAGTGACAAGACCATCGGAGGTGGTGACGATTCCTTCAACACATTTTTCAGTGAAACTGGGGCGGGTAAACACGTCCCACGTGCTGTGTTCGTCGATCTTGAGACAAGTGTTGTCGGTATGTATACATTGAGTTAGGCTGCAGATTTACCGTTTATTAGAAATCTTCGAAAAATCCCAATTATCACTAGATAATTATAAAAAGATCCAGATCTGCATTAAAGCTAACTACAGATGTTATATATTCAAGCTTCTCGTCATCATGATTATATTTGTTTGCTTATAAAATACACACGCGGTTCTTTACTGGATTTCTATTTTGTCTGCAGATGAGGTGCGAACTGGTACGTACCGTCAACTCTTTCATCCCGAGCAGCTAATCACCGGCAAGGAAGACGCCGCCAACAACTACGCCAGAGGTCACTACACCGTCGGCAAAGAACTCATTGACGTGGTTCTCGACAGAATACGTAAATTGGCAGATCAGTGCACCGGGCTTCAGGGATTCCTGATCTTCCACAGTTTTGGAGGTGGTACTGGATCTGGTTTCTCTTCACTCCTCATGGAACGTTTGTCTGTCGATTATGGCAAAAAATCGAAACTAGAATTTGCCGTTTACCCAGCACCTCAGATTGCAACCGCAGTGGTAGAGCCATACAACTCTATCTTGACAACTCATACTACTCTTGAGCACTCAGACTGTGCCTTTATGGTAGACAATGAAGCCATCTACGACATCTGCCGACGAAACCTTGACATCGAAAGACCTACATACACCAACTTAAACCGTCTAGTAGGACAGATTGTATCCTCCATCACCGCATCTCTTCGATTCGATGGTGCATTGAATGTGGACTTGACAGAGTTCCAGACCAACTTGGTACCCTACCCACGTATCCACTTCCCTCTTGCCACGTATGCCCCAGTCATCTCAGCCGAGAAGGCTTACCATGAGCAACTGACCGTTGCAGAAATCACCAACGCCTGTTTTGAACCTGCCAACCAGCTTGTGAAATGTGATCCACGTCATGGCAAATACATGGCTTGTTGTCTGTTGTACCGTGGTGACGTCGTTCCTAAAGATGTCAACGCAGCCATTGCTACCATCAAAACCAAAAGAACCATCCAGTTTGTCGACTGGTGTCCAACTGGTTTCAAAGTCGGCATCAACTACCAACCTCCAACCGTGGTACCAGGAGGTGATTTAGCCAAGGTACAACGTGCCGTGTGTATGTTGAGCAACACCACAGCCATCGCCGAGGCATGGGCTCGTCTTGACCACAAGTTCGATCTGATGTACGCCAAGCGTGCTTTCGTACATTGGTACGTAGGAGAGGGTATGGAGGAAGGAGAGTTCTCCGAGGCTCGTGAAGATTTGGCAGCCCTGGAGAAGGACTACGAAGAGGTTGGCGTTGATTCTATGGCTGGAGAAGATGAAGAACAAGAAGGCGACGAATATTAATAAATACAATAGGCCTAATATGAATTACATAAAACATTCAACACAACAAGATACAGACAGCATTGTGTATGCTGATAATTTTTTTGACTGCTGTCTTAATGTATACTGTACCTCAATCTAATAAATAAATATTTATGTAATTGAACAGAGATCTATGTACTTTAGTCGTAGTAGAGTAGATTATTTCGCTGCAATGTACGTAACAAAACAACTGGAAATCGCATGGTGGTTGTCATCACGGTGGCGCTGTCGGTATGATATCTACACTACAATACTTTATTGATTAGCAGGAAAGTACAGACGATAGGCCTACGACATTGGTATCAACTTCAAACTGAGAAAACTAAATCATAATGGTGAGTGATGGTTTAAATACACGATTTGAATATTTTTTTAATAGGTCATCTGTTTTGGCAGTGTTGATTGCTTTAACAATGCAGTTTGAAAATCGAATAAAAAATTCTCAGCTTAAAGGGTTCGATCAGAGGCTAGGTACCACCGATATAGGCCTATAATAGCAGAGTGCCCGTCAAACTCATTCTCAAAGTAATAATGAACTAAGCATAACATATTAATTTTGTCTGCAAGACCGCACCAGCTATTTCTATCATAACAATAGTAAGTTACTATTCACGCAGCCTATCGACTGTACTTTCCGCGTTCCTGTTCCATTTTGGAACCGTAAGAATTCATGAAGAGATTTAATTTGATGGCAACATTTGTTTAATTATGTAAATTGACAAAAGTATAGGGTATGCGTCTAAATAAAAGAATTTACTTGCTTTAAACCTTTACAACCATTTGCGATAGGCCTATTTTAAGCTTTTCTTAAGGCCTTTTAGTTGATGCCGAGATGTAGGCCTCTAATATAATTTTCTATGGAATTTGATGGCCACATTTGTTAAAAAATCAAGTACATTGCCAAAGTATAGGGCATGCCTCTAAATAAAATAATTTACTTGCTACCTTACAGCCATTTGCGAGAGGCCTATTTGCTCTTCTTAAGGCCTTTTAGTATACGCCTAGATGTAGGCCTGCTAATATCATTTTCTATGGCGAGTAAATAACACATTTATCGTAAATATCAACGATTCAAGCGCTTGTATATCTGAATATCTACTTCATTTGACACATTTCGTAATCAAATTGAACTGTCTCCCCATTTTGGTTCTAAATTATTTGAAATCTTAAATATGGATTCGAATATCTCCACAAAATATCAATTTTTCAAACACAATTTTTACCTAGTGGCAATGCAATTTTGTAATAGAGGTCTACTAAATAAGTTAACCATTAGCACATAGCTCCGTGTCTTTCAAGTGTCTCTAAGAGCCATTGACGTGTCAGAGTTTGAGACAATAAACGTGATTACCACAGTAAAATAAGGTCATTATAAACAGACTAGCATCTGACGGAGATGATGCATTAGTAATAATATATACAAATTGATAAATAATAAGAATGGATATAAACATAGCCTATCCCGAAACAAACTTGGTACCTCGATTATACACAGACGATTAAAGGCAAAAGTGACCAGATTTGGCCTATCGATTTGTATGGAATGAAAATCACAGGGCATGATTATCCCCGTAAAATAATGAACCATGGAGTACCGGTACCGTCATAACACCATTACATCCATCTATTTTATAATTTGTTTGGCGGTCATTGTTAATTTTACAAAGTGTTTTTCAGAACCGTCAATATACAGTATTGTAAATATAACAAAGGTTATAATTTTTAAGCACCAACGAAATTAAGATCCGTGCCAATTAAATTCAAAATATAAATTCACAATAAACTTTATTGCAATCGAACATAAAGATTGGATGAGACAATTTACAGTAAAAGAAAAGATAAAAACATTCAAAATAGAAGACAAACACCAGTATTCAGGGAAAAACATCAAAAATGATTATAACAATAATATTAACATAAATATTAATTAAAATGATTTACCGGAACTGTTGAATTAATTCATCATAACACTTAGGAAATCAGGATTCAAAAGCCCTGTTTTATTCTTGAAACTGTTAGCCCTTTGGCCAAGGTAAGAATTCTTGCAGTGCGCGAACTATTATTCACAAACAATGAGTAGGCCTATTTGTCTTCGTTTTCGTAAGGTTGCAAAATTCTACAAATACTAGCAACTATTCGCAATAAAAAAAGAAATTTGCATATCTATTTTCCGAAGCTTGTTTCCATCCACTTTCTCACCCAATATTACATCCAACGTTTATTACGTCATCATTTACGTTTAGTAATTAGTAGATTGACGCATTACAAAAAAAATATGTATTTGAATTTCCGTGCGATTTCATTAATCATACAGCGCTCCCTCTATCGACAGCTTAATAACAAACTACACTGTACAAATCGACATGACAATCAATTAATCAATTAGACCGATTCGATCGACGGATCGATCCATGTTTAATTCATGTAGGGTTTTCTTTAAAAAATATATGAAACCTGAGGCTACAAGAAGCACTAAACAAAATATCACAACTAGGCATAGGCCTATATCACAAAGACTATATTAGAACTAAACAAAATATTCAAATGATAATTATGAGCTGAATGTACAGTTAGTTCATTTATATATTTGCATATTCATTGATAATAGCGTGAATGCATCTCGGTCCATGTCGGTCAAGCCGGTGTCCAAATTGGTAATTCCTGCTGGGAGTTGTACTGCTTGGAGCACGGTATCCAACCTGACGGTCAGATGCCAAGTAACCAGACCACTGGGGGTGGCGACGATTCTATGAGTACATTCTTCGGTGAGACTGAAAGTGGAAAACAAGTTCCAAGATGCGTATTTGTTGATCTTGAACCGAGCGTTGTCGGTAGGTTGATTTGTCCCGTAAAACTATTGTTTCTAATTTATTACAACAAAAAAAAAAGGGAAAAAAGTTACAATTCTGCCAATAGCAATAATAACACATATAAGAATAACGATATTAGTTAAAATAATTAAGTTAAAATCACATAAGCGTAATGATATAAACTTCAATAATAAGCTTATGAACACATTAAACATGGAGAAAGAATGGAATGATCATGTTTGCGACATGATAAAATAGTTTTCGTTCCTGTGTCAATCTAAATAAACATAAGTTAGCTCAGTCGGCTAAACTGGTGGTAGCCACTGTGTGTGTGCACTGAACCGTTTAGATCTCTAGGTACGGTACCCATTCCCCATCACTGCTGTCCTTGTGTTTCAACTGGAGGGCTGAAATACAAGTTACCATAGCGCACCGTCTTTCGGATGAGACGTTTTAAGCCATTGGTCCCTTGTGCAATATGGTCCATACCATGTGCACGTTAAAGAACGCAATACATTCTTCGGAGAAGAGTAGGGTATTGTCTCCCGGTTAGATGGACCCCACTGGAAACAAGTCTTCGGACTTAGTGGGCTATCCTTGGTGTGATTTACACAGAAGTACTCCTATCCTATCCAATCCTAAGTTAAATACTTGCAGTAATTATATGTATTTATACTATATAACTTTACTGGGGAACTCCTTTTTTTGTGTATTGAAGATAAATGGATCTAAGAAAGTATTTTGGTGAGAATATATATTATACCAGCAACTAAAGTATCTAACGTCAAACCTTTATCCTTTTTAGATGAGGTTCGAACAGGCACCTACCGTCTACTTTTTCATCCCGAACAGCTACTTACCGGCAAAGAAGATGCAGCAAATAACTACGCCAGAGGTCACTACTCCATCGGTAGGACACTTATTGATGACGTCGTCGACAGAATCCGTAAGTTGGCAGATCAGTGTTGTGGTCTTCAGGGATTCCTGATCTTCCATAGCTTCGGTGGGGGTACTGGATCCGGTTTTGCTTCACTCATAATGGAACGTCTGTCCCTTGATTTTGGTAAAAAGTCGAAGCTACAGTTTTCCATCTACCCAGCACCCCAGATAGCGACTGCTGTTGTCGAGCCATACAATGCAATCTTAGCAACACACTCAACTCTCGAGTACTCTGATTGCGCCTTTATGGTCGATAACGAAGCTATCTACGACATTTGCCACCGTAATCTCGACATCGAAAGACCATCCTACACCAACTTAAACCGTTTGATTGGCCAGATCGTATCCTCAATTACTGCATCTCTACGGTTCGAGGGTGCGTTAAATGTGGACTTGGCTGAGTTCCAGACCAACTTGGTTCCCTACCCACGTATCCACTTCCCTCTTGTGACCTATTCTCCAGTCATCACACCTGAGAAAGCTTACCACGAGCAGCTTTCAGTAGCTGACATAACCAACGAGTGCTTCCTTCCAGCCAACCAAATGGTAAAATGTGATCCTCGAAATGGGAAATACATGGCTTGCTGCCTGTTGTACCGTGGTGACGTCGTGCCAAAGGATGTAAATGCAGCCATTGCTACCATCAAGACCAAGCGAAACATCCAATTTGTTGACTGGTGCCCAACTGGGTTTAAGGTTGGCATCAACTACCAATCTCCAACGGTGGTACCAGGAGGTGACTTGGCAAAGGTACAACGTGCTGTGTGTATGTTGAGCAACACCACAGCCATTGCCGAGGCATGGGGTCGTCTTGATCACAAATTCGATTTAATGTACGCCAAGCGTGCTTTCGTACATTGGTTCGTGGGTGAAGGTATGGAGGAAGGGGAGTTCGGCGAAGCTCGAGAAAATATGGCAGCATTAGAAAAGGACTACGAAGAGATCGGCTTAGATTCTCTTGAAGGCATAGAGCTTGAAAGTGAAGAATACTAATCTGCATTTTTCCTTTGAAATAATAAATGCAGAATTCAGATAATAAAAGTAACAGATGATCAATACATATATAGGTCTAAAATATGTATAGACCAATATAAAATACGTTTTCGTCACCACAACGACTCACTTAATGTAGCTATGTTTACACCTTTATTATGTTACGCCGTCGGAGCAGCCACCGAGGTGTCGAAGTGGTGCTTGTCGATAACTGTATGATACGATGTACAATATGATGACAGTCCATGGGTTTCGAAACTGTATGCACCATAGGATGAGCATGGGAGGATAGGGTACGAGAGTAAAGGACGCAGGAACTGCTGGCGTATTTAAGGGGGATTTTGGTGGCACAAGAACACCAGAAGATAACTCTCAGTCGCTGTTTAACGCGGTGTGGCAGGGCAGTGATATGAGCCACTGGGCCAAATGCGAAATACAAAACACCTATTTACACTGACAGTGTACATCGGCGTTCGAAATGTATAAAAATTGCATTAAAACTACCTAGGCTCTGACATGACACTTGGGATTTTTTATATGATATTTTCTATACAATTTAAGCTGTGGTTGCATAAATATACATTAGAAAACAATATTTTAAAACGAAAAGAGAACAAGTAGAGCTAACTATTTTGACTAAAAATAATAGGATTAATATTTGAAGTTTCATAAGTTCGAATTATGTAGTAGACCTCACAACGATTTTAATGTAAATTAACCCTTATATTTGTAACGGGGATTCGTCATTTTACTATGAAAAACATTTGTTGGAAGACAGTTTACACCGACGTTTCCTGTTTTTTTCGTCCTTTCCAAATATGCGCCACGGTTAAATATACTTATTATTAATTTCGTGTGAAATTGGTTTCTCTAAAAAGACAAAAGACGCATTGTAAATAATGTACTGTACTCTTAATTAAGTGCTTAGCGATTATATTAAAAATAAATTATGATATTATGATAAGCACCACGGCGCTTATTCAAGAGTAGTGCCTAGCTAAAAAAAAAATGCCGTTTGATGCGGGGTTTTTTCTTTTTGTTTTTTGTTTTTTTCGAGAAAGGTTCTAGATCATTTACGATACCATTCAGTACTTGGATTGTTTACTGTTGTATGTTTGGGTTGTCATGGTTACATATTGGCGAGTAATCTTACCATTATATAACTGTTTTGTGAGGTTCCTATGACTAATAATAGTTTTTTTTTGTGCATAAGATGTGTTGTAATAAAGGGCGAAAGGTGGCCAAACGTCGATCTGTTTGTACTTCAGCGGTCTCATTCGTTGTTTCTATGTCATATAGTGAAGGGGCATTTTGAAAGGTTTCTTTTGTTTATACAATTCACACCACTATTTTAGTAATAACAGTCAAATATATTGTTGTATTATCAATCATCATCATTATTACCAACAAATTCATTATTATTTTCATACCACGACACTAGTTTTTCAAAACATAATAAGCATATTACTGGTGAAACACAGCATGCACAGACAAAAAATATTTTCTTCCTTCCCAATTTATATTGCTTGGGGCCTTTTTTATCTATAAAAATATGAATATCCTTGTAAGAACAGATAATGTGTGTGCACATGTGTGGATATGACTGCACGATGTGTGTGGTGAACCGTGTTTCATTAATTTGATTTGTTTGCCCCAGGTGTGATCATCCGACACCCTTAACGTTTCTCAAGATGTTTATCCTGTTCCCTTCAATTTATTCTACGTGCAGAGGATCTTATCAAAGCGTGGGCTCACGCGTAAAGGACTGCGATGATGATTATGGTGACAACAACGATGACAACGACAACGATGATGATTGTAATGATGATGATAACAACGACGACATCGATAGTGATGATGATGATAAATAACGAATTATTGACGTTGATGACGATGACGTAATCTATGAAGATGAGGATGTTGATGATGACAGTGGTGGCGCCAGCGGGGAGGTAGAGAGGGAGAATTTTTTATATTGTTTTGATTGTTAATCCCTAATATTGTGGCCTAAAAGCACAATTTAGACCATACTAAGCCATAAAAACTCTCCCCGTGTACCCTACTGGGGATATTTTATTCCGGGCCGTCGACCGAGACTCTAGCCGGGCCTTGGTTCGGACCCTTCCGTCGGACATGTTAGACCCCTTGTCGGCATATTTCTAGCGCCACCGCTGGATGATGATAATGACGATGTTGAAAGATGATTATAATTATGATGATGACGATGAGGATGTAGACGATGATGATGGTGATGATGTCGATGGTCAGATGATGTTGACGTCTATGATAAAGAACATTACGATAATAATGACGCAGAATAATTATAATTCATAAATTTAATATCGGTCACCGACTTATACTCGGAGTTACTCATGCCACCAGGCTGAGAATCAGGCCATGAACACTCAATCAATAGGCCTCGAATTTTATGGCAGGTCTAACTCGACAAATAATGACTGAATAAGATTAACTTTATTATTACCTGTAATACAATGCTTGAACAGGTATTATTCAAAAAAAATAATCCAAAGAAAATAACTTTAACAGAAAAACTACAATTAGGCCTATACTGTACTTCCCATGTAGCGTAAAAATGATACCTATTCCATGGAACGTCTCGAATTCCCATTCGCTCGCACGGCTGCTTTTGTCTGCCGTTATAAAAAGGGCGCAATTCTGTCGACACGACAGTCAGTCTTCATCGTCTCTCATCGTAGAAAGACCAGTGTGAAGAGATCCAAGCTTATTTATATTTTTCTCAGTTGAATTTTGGTGCAATTTCCTCAATTAAATAATCATGGTAAGTTACATGTTTTATTTCTGGATTTTGTGCACATTGTTTAAATCGCTTAATACGTCAATTGACCCAATTTTAAGTAGGCCAATTGTATTATTGC